GTAACAATAGCAGCAGTAGTCGCAATGTACCCTTCACCAAGCAACAAGAACAAATGACAATGTAATTTATCTTTACATTTTGTTGGTTTTTTTGGTGAACTTGTTTTGTGCATAACTTGTATGGTAATCATCGCAATATGGTACTCATACAACATATTGAGCCGTGATGTTAGTATATATATATATATATATATATATACACATATACACATATATATATATATATATATATATATTTAAAAAACAGATGCAACGGTACAGTGTGCAATATTGTGTATATGTGTGTGTGTATGTGTGTGTATATATGTATATGTATATGTATATAATGTGTGGTATTAAGAAAAAGACAAAATAATCACTAAGGTACGTTTCGTTTGCACAGAACGTTTATTTGAATTGCTTTTATTATTCTTTTTTTTTTCTTTTTCATCGACCACGTGATGCGTACGATCCCTGCTGTGTAATTCCGTATAGTTTCCAGCAAAAACAACTTTCTATCTGTTCCCCTACCTTTTTGTGCGCTACGCGAGTATAATCGAGGCTGGCAGAGATCTATCGTCAAATTAAAAACTTGGACGACGGCGAAGAGTCCCGCAAAGCTTCTGCGATAAAGTGTGTGTTAACATTTGATAACTGTTGGTCTCTCCTCAAGACAGGTAGCGTACGCGACAGGTGGTGAATATATACAGTCGTATCGTATACAGTATTTACGCAGTGTTCGCGTTACACACATATATATATATATATATTTTTTTTTTTCTCTTTTGTTTTGGCAAATAAGTTGTACCCTAATATTTCTCAAGTCACTCATATCATATTCGCTATTCACGCGCATGACCTCGTACGTATATGCGGTATAATAGGCGTATTATTTCTCCTTCTCTCCGTCTCTCGCACGCTCACTCATTTCCCCCTTTGTCTCTCTTATTGTACTATATATCACTTCTTCCGCCAATGACAAGTGTCTTGTCAAATTCCGAGTTACGATATTTTTTTTCTTTTCTTCAAAAGATTTTTAGCCGTTAATTATTTAATTTCGAACTACAGCATTTTGCTAAACAGTCTTAATACAAATTTAAAACAATCACAATTTTAGTAATTAAGGATCTTAATATCGATACAAAAATTAAGGCCATTAGTAAGCTTTTTCGCCTCGAGGAAACAAGCTGTAAATTGGCCTGACAATTCGTCACGTTAATGAAAAAGGCGGTAATGATGGGGCGCCGTAAATACATTATTTCTTATGATCACAGAATATAAAAACTAGAGATTTACCTTAGTAATTATTTTGTCTTTCTACTACTGCTGCAATTATACAACTTAACTACGCAAAAATTCTTTAATTCGCATTTTCTTCGTCGCATATCGATATTTGTGAATTGCGTACATTGATCGTACTAACGATAGAGCAAGTTTACATTTAGCGGCGATCTGAAAACAGTGAATCGCTTAGTACATTGATTCGACGATAAACCGAAGAAGAAACGCGCGATTTTTCTAACTTTTCATGCAGCATACGAAGGATTTCTTTATAAGAGAATCTTCGGTACAGCGTTATAAAATATCACAAAACGCCTCTACTTTTACGATATCGAGTATATGTACATCTTAATAGAATATCTCCAATAAATTCAACATTCAGTTGCACGTACACGATGAGAGAAGCCGCCTAACAAACGTTAAAAGTACATGTGCCTAGAAACGATCTCGTCCCGTGTAAACTCCGATAGCTGTCGAAAGTTAAATGTAAGAAAAACATTAAAAAAGAAGGATCATATATTTATATATTTTGTTGAAAAATATTCTGTTGAAAAAGAATATCGAAAACTACATAACAATAAAGATACAAGTATAGGTATATATTTGCAATGCCACAAGTAACAGACGGACAAATGTCAAACGGATGTTCTAAATCGAAGGATTGAGTTAGTTCAATAAGCAACATTAAGTTAAATTGAAGATTCAAGATAAAGTTAAATTTAAAGAAAGTTAGGATAAGAGAAATATGTCAAGTTAAATAAATCAGTATAAATCAGTTTAAATAAGTTTAAATAAGTTTAATAAATAAAGTTCTTGCAGGTAACTCTTCATGCATAAATATGCATGTGCATACATACATATAAACATATATACATATACATGCATATATATGTATTATGTACGTATAATATTTATTATTTTATATTCTTTGAAGAAATATTTTAAGAACGTAATTATTTATAAGCGTTTCCAAAGCGTATCTGAGTTTACACGGTAAGAAGCTATATATTCAGAGGATATATTTGCTTAAAAAAGATAATTATCTATGCCGTTGAAGCGTAGATCCTCTGCCAATTTGCTCGAACTAACCGCACATTAAAATAACGATAATAATCGTAACGATGGTTACAACAATTAACAGTGACACATTCACGATTCCGACGTGATACCGCTTTTTTTGTGTGTCATATACTATATTATACACTTTCTTAACCGATATTGCATATATGTATATGCACATAAGTATACATGAAATATACATAGGAAATATAATCTGAGCATATATCGATCACATTATAATGCGATTTAAAAAATATGGTCCTGAGTTAATGTTTTCTCTATAAAAAATTTACATTATTGTCGGAAAAATATGCATTTTCTTTAGTTACGATTATTACACATGATTGTATCATGATTGCACAATGGTTATAAATTATTACAATGTAAAATGGAAAATTTTTGACGAAATATTCAGAAAGTGTTTTTTTTTTTAAGAATTGGTCCCGCAGTCATTTTCTTCAGATTTTTTTGACATTCTGGATACAGAGATAAGATGTTAACTGTCGTTCCGATCTCGTTCAATTATCAATTAATATATTCGTGACTTACGAATAAAAAAAATGTGTACCTTCGGTGTATATAATAGTCATCACTTTCATATAATATTCATCCGCACGCTATCACATTCTCCAGCATACCTCGCGATCCGTTCTAAAATTATAATTATCTATTATCCCTTCCCTCCCCCCTGTAAAATTTAGTCAGAATTATAAATCATTTCTGACTCTCTGAATAAAACTAGAATTTATATCTGTTTACCTAATTCTTCATAGGTTCAACTCCTATGGTCGGCAAAAGCGCGTTGCATTTTATCTTTCACGCTATTTCGCTAAGTCGTTTACGATTGTCATAATCTATCGAAAATAATGCTACCACTGATGCCGATAGAAAAATTATAGTCGCTTTTTTCGCTGTAAATTGAGCACTAATTATTTACAGATCAATTACAGGAAACGATTATGCTTCGTCCGATCAGTTCTCTCACATTATCCTTTCTTTCCAACTTCCACAACACAGTTGTCTTCATCAATTATCGCAACTATGTCTACGAGTTCATTCTGTTTTCCCGTAAAAATAATAACTCTCAAAAGTGTTTCTCATATCTTCGCGAAATGTTTATAATCGTTCTTTTTTTCGTAATTATGTATAATTTTTTAAATTCTATTAAATAGTAGCAAGTTTCATATTTCTTTAATCAACCTATACGGATCATGCAAATTTGATAAGACTAACAGACTAAATTTAGGCTTGAAAAGAAAAATTACAAAATAAATACATTTTCAAATAAAACCAAATTATCGAAATGTTTTATGCAATAGTTTTTATCCTTAGAATTATATAAAACACTTCAGTCGATAAATAACATTTAATCAAACTATGTTTAATTGATTCGTTTCCATAAATACTATCTGACTTAACTAGTATTTCGAAATGATCAAATTAATTTGTTTAAAAAAATTATATTTATTTATTGTTTAATTTTCGAAGTTAGTCTGTTAATCTCATGGAAGTAGCATGCAGCATATAAGTTTATTAAGAAAATAACAAATTTTTGCTACTACTTAATAGAGCCTAAAGGATTTATGTAATTAATTTTCACAATGTTGGCTGCATATTGGCACATCTTAAGTTTCCGTGCAATTTTTCAGGTACGAGTCAACACTATTACAATACTGATGGGGTTTCCAAATCAATAACGATTGACTACGATAGAAATAAAGTGCTGAAACGAAATGCTACGTCCGGTTAAGACTTTCTACAGTAGGATATTATATTACATGTACAAAAAGAAGAAACGATTGAAGCAGTTGTGGTAAAAGGTAAGATGGTGATATGATGCCATGCTTCTAATTCTACCATTCGCAAATTCGAGAAAGAGAGAAACAATTAATAGAGTTTATTCGCGGGCTCGAGTTGCTCCGAGAACGATTAATAACGTCGTAGTCCTGCTCTAGATTGTAATTTAAATACAAAAATATACTCCTGAAATATATAATATATATAAATATATATATATATATATATATATATATATATATATATATATATATATATATAATAATAACTAA